TAATTGAAGCTTTAAACTGTATCGCTCTCTTTTTTCTTTTTCTTTTTTTTTGCTGCCTTCAACCATTGAAATACACAGTTCATACATGTTGAACTATATGTAAGATTATTTTGTGTTTTTTTCCCCAAGAAGAACTATCCTTAAAACCAACTATCATATCATCATAAAACTTAACTTTAGTCTTAATTCCTTTTTTCGGCCTTTATATATAGTTAACAAACCCAGTTAGCCCACCCAAAAATATCACACATTGAGTAATCTTAACAAGATAAAGAAAATTATAAGTTGAAATAGCTTTTTTAAAAGGAATACTCTATATTCGATCATTGACCAAAAAAATTTATGTGTGATTTATCTGTTGAAAAAATATTCATACCTTATGATAGGAATAAATTGTCTCTTAAAGGTTTTTTAAAAAATCCACCCTGCAATAAACCAAAAGGGGAAAAACAAGAAGGGTCGTAACTAGTGAGAAGAGAAGAAATAGAAAATAAACGATATTTGGTTCAAATGTGGTGACCAGCAGGAGCAATGCTTGTAATCGCCTTTTCAGAGCAAGCTTGGATCAAGATCTGCTGGATAATTGTGCTTTTTAATGCAATTTCTTGCCTCATTTTTTTACATTCAATTTAATTTTGATATATGTTACATTTGGATATAATCTATATTAATAGATACACTTAAATTCTTATAGGTCAAGAAAAAACATATAGAAAATCGAATGATGTAAGATTATTTCTTATAATTCAAGCACAATCTAATAGTTAATATCAACTGGGTTAATTAATTATTAATAGGTTTGAGCTCTGCATCTAAAAAATTTTCTTTTCTTCCGTTAAAATATTCCACTCATTCCATAATCACTATTCACGCTTTGCCTTATATTCCCTTCGTTTCACGGTCACCAAACAACATCCCCTCTCGCCATGTCACTCCACAACCACTCCCTTCTTACTCCAGGCCCACAAAAAGCCTATTAGCCATCACCAATCCCTCCGTTCCACGTGCCCATACATTCATCATTCCTTTTCCCATTCTTCATCGGCCGTGCCCGCGAGTTTCATCCGGCTTGGAAAAAAAAGAGTTTTTTTTTCCTGAGAAAAAAGGGGCTAGGCCCAGCAACTTAACCATCTCTTCTAATTCTACGTGGCACAGATAAACCGGCTAGGTCTTCGTCTCGCGTCTTCAAAATATCAGTCGGGGGTGAGAAAAAAAACTTGCTTTGATGTTGGGCTTATTGAAAGACAATTTCACAGAGACACAGAGAACACTTGAGCCTTAAGCTCGCATTTAAAAACTATAAGAAAGTGATATTCGATTTATCATTTAAATTTAAAGATTTGAAATTATTTAATTTTAAATAATTTTGAGTTGTATTTTTATGAGATAATTTAGTTTTAGATTGTCATTTTTATTTTTGAATTGAATTAATATTTAGATTATATTTGTGCTAAAATACTTGTAAAAATTTATGTTTATCAACCTTTACATTGTTACTTGAATTTATAATTGAGTTTTTATTATCAATTTGATTATCAATGTGGTTTAAATTGCAAATTTGGATTTTTTTGCCTCTTGATTGTTTAATTGAGTTGGTAAATTATCTAATTGTTTAATGGATAATTCTAAGTATAGTTTCCAGAATTAATTTGAGTCATTTGTCATTGGTTTTAATGAGTTTAATTAACCAATCTTATACCGTTATGAGTTTTCTAATGGTCTAAGGATTTTTAAAATTGAGGGTTCTTTTTGTATCAATTAGGGTAATTAAACCTATTAATTCCACTCTCTTGTCACTTCCTTTGGTCTAATTAATTGATTTGGTTTATGAAAGTTAATTTTATGTGAATCCTAAATTGTTCCCTCTGCCGTATCTGAAGACAAACCTCTTACTTTTACTTGTTAATTTTCTTTGCTCTCTACTTAAGTTTCTTTACTTATCATTTTAATTTTAATTTCTAAAAAAACCCCAAAATTACATTTGTATTTATTTAGTTTAATTTAATTTTTATATAGATTTTAGTACATTTTCATCTTGCATTTAGAATTAGAATTTTACATTTTAGTTTAGGTCCATTTTATTGCATTTTTCATCACCTAAATTTTTAGCTAGAGAAACTCATAACTTGCTTCTTGAATTTAATAACTTAAATTAATCCTAAACTACAAATTAATTAAGACCTAATTTAATTGAGTGTTTTAATAATAGGGGTATTAAACTTCTTCTTCCATTAAGAGAACAGGAAGAAATCAATGCTTCCTAAATGGTTGAAGTTTTTAACACGGAAACCCATGTGTGAAATAGAACATTTTAAATTATCCAGGAGTTGAAATATTGGAGAAGCGAATCAATTTTAATACTTATACGATAATAAATATCTCATCATTGTAGTGAGATCTATATTTTTTAAATACAATATAATTTCAACAGTTTTAATGTAAAACTCTTAACTAATAGTGATTTGTAAATAAAAAATTATTTTTAAAAAAAATTGGCACCTAATAGATTATTTTATTTGAGATTTTGTATTCATTAAAATGATTTTTTTAAAAGAAAATAAAAGTGAAAAAACAAAATTTAATATAAAGCGCCCAGGTCAAATCTAAATAGCGCGATGTAATAATAACTTCTTATCATTGAAACTTATTTCATTGGGGAAGGTAGAGAGAACATGACATAGACAACAATTCTATCTTAATAAATTGGTATAACATTTTAAGATTTAACGAAAGCTACTATTGCTATTAATCTTTTCTTTTGTATTAAATCCGCCGGTATGTAAAAATTACATTAGACAGTGATTAATCTGATGAAGCCAAGGAGAACTACAAAAGCAACATCCCGCGTATTAATCTTTCCAACGACTTTTACACCTTTAACTACAAATGCAAATTTAACGACGGTATCATGTTTACTCTGGGTATTTTACACTTAAAAGAAGCTCATGATAATAATTACATTTTGGATAAAAATTTATAAATATTGTTGCACGTTCACCCTTTCTTTATTTACAGTTAAAACTAAATTTTTCTCCTGTGCAAAGCACACTGTAGTGTGTAACTACGTATGATTAGATTTGAAATAACTGAAAGATATTTATAAGGTGTATTACATATTTGATTCAATTAGAATATGTCATTCTATTTGTATTCTTCGCCACTTCTTATTGAAACAATGATGATATGTTTTCTTGAAAATTTATAACTTTCTATGTATTTTTCAAAAATAACTTTCCTTTTATAAAATAAAATAATAAAAAATAAGGCATATGTATATGGATTGTATTCTCGGCCCCTATTATTTTAAGAAATTCTCATTTCTATTGGTCCAAAATATTCTTCTTTTGCTTTGTATTTTAAAATATAACTTTTTAAAATAAAATAATAAAATGAGCCACATATATATGGAGAGAGAGCATATGTACATACAAATTTGGGTTATTTGACCATAAAAAATATCACATCTGTATAAAGTTGAAAGAATTGAGAAACTGACGTAAAAGACAAAGAGACGCAAAAAATTGAAATAAATTTAGATAACAAATAAAATATGAATATACAACCCGACCCATTTAAGTATTAGCAGGTATTACAAAATTTCATAAGTATATTAGAAGATTAATCTCAAACCCGACTCCTTCTTTTATTGCATTTGTATGCATTTAGTTAATTAGGATTCAATAAAAGCTCCTCAAATAAAACGAACTGAAGATGCATAAGTATAATGCATTTCTTGATAAAATTTTGATACTTCCCACCAAGGTGTGTTAGGACTCGGTCACATTAACTAAGCAAAATATTTAAAAAATCTTTAAAAAATTACTTTTCCATCTTATGTACTTCATCAGTTCATCCAAGAAATATTTTCGTTGACAACCATCCAAGGGGCGCACATCAAAGCAGTTATGCACGCATCAAATAAATAAACTGTTACAAATAATTTAAAATGGTTTACGACTGTAACATGCAAAGACTCCAAAATTGAAGGAAGGAAATTCCACTTTTGCTTGCACGCATACTACTCATTTGTGTCCTCTGTTAGAAACTAGTACAAATAAAGGGATGCAGCACCATCCCCCTTGATAATCTAAAACAGCCTCTTCAAACCCGGGCTTCAAACTGCGTCTCTCCAATGTACATAGCTACCAGTGTTGTCTGCCGAAGTTTCTAGAGTTATCTAATTGCTCTGATGAAGCTACCCTTCGAAGCATGAGGACAGCAAGAACAGAATGCTACGAATAATTTAAAATGATTTGGCAGTCAAATACTACAAAATTAATGGGCGTTAATCCCACGCCGAGACGCAAGGGTAATTCATCATTTGTCTCTTCTGCCAGAAACTGTCCTATAAATAAAGGGATGCGGCAAATACAATGTCCCTCTTGATTTTTGAAACAGCTTCTTCAAACTTAGCCTCAAGCCACGTTTCTCCAGTTAATTTGGCTGCCTGTATCAGCGGCTGAAGAAGCTCCTCAAGTCTTCTAATTGCCCTAATCAAGCGACCCTCAGAAACCTGAGTAATTTCCATGATATCATAGAATTTCGATCCTTTCGCCCATGCATAAACAGCTTCCATAATGTCAGGCCTAAATGAACTCACGAAACTCTTCACATCAATTTGAACCTGATTTAGTTTGTGTTTCGGTACAAATATGCATAATCACAGTTAGTTGTGAACAAATAATCTAATGCCAGGGAAACAATGGATTCAGTCACAGTTAGTTATGAACAAATAATCTAATGCCAGGGAAGCAGTGGATTCATTCATTACCTTGCACTCAAGCTGAAGTTGTGCAACCCTCCTAGTAGTTTCTTGCAATTGAGCAAAGAGCAGGCCAAGTTCTTCGGGGGGCTTAGCAGCATCATGGATTCTCTCTTGCCATACAAAACAAGAGAGCAGAGAAACCATTTCCTCCACCTTTATGTCCTTTAAGACCCCATTAAACATGAGTTCAGTCAGGGTCAGCTCATCAGCGCTGCTAATTTCGCCAGCAACCTTACCTTTTAATTCCACAACATTCTCACTTGTAATATATCTGTAAGTTAAAATTGAAGATCACTGCAAACACCCAGTCAATCAGTAGACTTGCAAAAACATCAATACCACAATTAAGATATTACACTACAATGATGAAAGTATTGAAGCAATCAACAAATTTCATTACCCTAGCCCTCGAAGAACTCTCTTTCTTGCCTTAAGTTCATCCCTAAAAGCCAAAGCAGTAGAATTTCTTAATGTTCTCTTAATTGACTTTATCTTTGCAGCCAGTTCTTGCTTCTTACGCAAAGCCTTTAGTTTTGCTTCAAACATGGAGATTTTACGATTTCATGCTTCTCAAACAGCCGCTCCGAGGCCTCTAATCTCCGGGATGCCTTTTTGTATGAGCTGCTGTGAATCTAAAAGGAAATGAGTCAAAACTACAATAATTTTGTTGGAATTAAACCCAAGAGGGTGAAGAGAAGATATAAAAAAGATGAGAAACCTTCATGTCCTCTACAGGATCTAGAAGGGGCAACCCTTTTTCAGCAAATCCAGAGAGTTTCTGACACTTTCTTCAGCATGTTTCCGCTAGCTTCCAATGACAGAAAATCCTTTGGAATATATAGGCGCAGACTGCTTATTGTGTTGATCTATTCAGAACAAAAGGCAGAAAACAGTTTAGCAAACATCATAACCACAAAGTCTGGTAAAAAAAAAAAAAACATCATAACCACAAAGGATAAGGACATTTGATAGCCAAGGCCTCTAAAGGTCAAATTGTGTATATTACGTTGAACTATTGCATTGAATTGTCCATACTATGTTGTACCACAGAAACTTGCGCATTGGTGTGCTGCAGGAAAATTAGATTTTCTCCTTATCAGATTATGATTTTTTCCCTTTTCCTCCTCAATGGTACTACAGAATCAACTCCTTATATGGTTGATGCAATTCCAGCTACTCCTACACCTAGGGACAGAGAAGGGCCACTATAACCCAGTAACAGGACTTGGGAAATTTGTGGCGACAACAATGTATGCTTTCATTTTCTTGGCCTACTTTTTGTTTACGCGTGTTTGAGTGTAATCTCATTACATTATGTTTCCTGTGAAGCTTCTCTCTCTCTATCTCTCTGTTTTTCCTTGGTAGTTTCAGTGGCCAAGACTGTCAAACTCGTAATGGAGTCACAAACTTGGATTGTGTTGGAAACTCGTAAAAAATTACTCATATTAATAAATAGTTATTAAAAATATAAAATTAAATAATTAAAGTAAAAAAATGACAACAATTTGATTTAAATATATTTTTGTGGCTGTATTAAAATTTTATATCTCTTTGTTAACACTTGAATTTTTGCATTTCTAAGCAGCATAGGCTTTTAAACTTTTTCCCAATTTCATGCCACAAGGGCTGGGTGGACTACAATTCTAATGCACCGTCCCTTTGAGATGTATTTTATGGGTGTATGTGTAACACACACACACACACCCCTCCTAATAACTATTTGTATGCAATGTTAAAAACTGGACTTCCCAAGAGAGATGGCATAGGTACAAACTTGTCAATGTGAGGTCTTATCAGTCTCAAGTTTCGATACTGTATTCAGACTCACCCACCATGTTCGCGTTTGTCCAATATTACCGAGCCCCATCTAGTCACACTCTAGTCCATGCAAATTTGTGAGGGTCTGTACAAAGTGATTTAACATGTTGATTTGAGCTAAGAATGTCAACTCCCCAAGTCCATCTAGTTGACTTGTTAATTTGACAACAATGGTAGTAACTAATGATGATGGGAGAGGCAAGGGCAAGCACGAATAGATAGGAAGTTCAGAACTGAGTTGATAGACCGAAGGTGCTACTATCTTCGGGTACAACCCAAGTGAAATGACTCCTAGGGGAAGGCAAGAACGAGGGACAGATCAGTGAGTGCTTGGTACTGCGACTTGATTCCTGGTGCACTACGCCTATTGCTTGAAACTTGTGAATGCTAAGATTTGTTCAGGTTCAAGTAATTTGATAGATTTGAAATACCTGGTGCTAGCGAGTATTGGATGTATGGGAGAGAATGAACCTGAGAAAGGATCGTCCTTTGCAGAAGGAAGACAAATGATTAATGCAAGAGGATAAGAGGTTCCAACATAACATCTATTGTTGGAGAATGCCGTTATTTAAGTGTTTAATTATTTATTTATTTAGTTGTTGAGCCCTGTATTTCTAGGCCAAAAATAGTTTAAATATACAGAATATCTTTTCCTTTATCTTTCCATGATTTTAGGGAGATCAGGATATCAACTGTGGCCAAACCCAAACCTAATCTCTCCCTATAAATGGTTGAGATCTAATCGAATAAAACTTGTTCAGTTCTACCCCCAATTCTTCAAGGTATCAGAGCAAATCTTCCATGGAGGACCTTCGATTCGGTCGACTAAAGTGTACAGAACAATGCATTATTTGTCAAAAATTTTATGGAAGTAATATCTAAAATTCTTAATTATGCAGAAGTACAAGAAATGTTTCTCTTATAAAAACAATTAAAAACAACTTCCAACGCAAGGTTTTAATCCAAGAAGCTTATCTCAGAATCACAATAGACAAGGACCCCGAAAGAGTTGGAAGTTTTAAAGAAGAAGAAGAAGAAGAAGAAGAAGAAGAAGAAACAAAGATCCAGATCAATAAGAATTTACTTACTGATTCTATAACATGTAGCATGTGTTTCAATTCAAACAGATTCAATAACAAAGGGTTCACTCCCACACGTCTTTTCTATTTGGTTATAGTTCCTTCCACCATAAACAACAAGTGAACGTTTTAGAAACCCATTTGGTAAAGCACTTTGCTTTACTACATTCATACGCCAAAACCCATTTCACCAACAAATTGACAATCGATAGAAATTACGAGACACAGGAAATTCCAAATACCATATCCATAAAAAGTGCACGGCTGTTCCTACACTGATAACTTAAATGTGGCTGATAACTGATTAAACCCATAACCAATAGGGAAAGTTGATCTGCACTACATAGCATCCATTTCTAGTTCAAAAGCTTTCTGCAAAAAAGAATTCATTTTCACCTGTCTTTTTTTCATTCCATCACAGTTCTTTCAATCTTGAAAACCATTTTTATGTTAAAACATAACTTGTACCTTTTCATTCTAGAACTCTTTAATAACCGGGAGTAAGCTTGTTATGACAGGGAGGGGAAAAAAGTTAACTTCGCGTGGTTAATAACGCACAATGAAGCCGATGAGAAAGGAGGTAAAATTCATCTGCTTTTTAGTTAGACCAGAAAAAGGAATTTGAGAAGGCTACTGACCAACTAGATTGAGAAGATCCCTGCAAATAAGGGCAGCGAAATTGCGAGGACCAGAGACATGAAAGGCGTAAGGATGATGCCCTTCATCTTGCAGCTTCTCCTCCACACTGCGTTTATTACCAGCTTTCGCCATTAACGCAGCACAGATCCAGCCTCGTCTTCTTCCTGTTCTTGATCTCTGTCCATGATGAAGCTAAACGGAGAAAGACGAGTTGCTGTCACCCTTCATTTATGGTAGCAGAATGAAGATGCTGTCATTTTCGTTTTCTTTGCTTGGCATCAGATTCTGCAATCCTCACAGCCCGTTTGTTAAAAGTGGAATCTTTAGTTATTTATTTTTATATAAAATAAAGGAGTATTAACAAAATTAGTTTTTAATCCTAACATGATTATTTTTTTCATCCACACGATTTAAACCTCACTTTACCAACCACTGTTTGTTTAAACAAATTAAAATTCAATAGTTTATATAGGAAATACAAAACTCTGGTCGTATTTATATTTTGAATCTTAATAAAAGATTCTCTATAAAATTTAATGAAACATTTATAACTAATCTCCAAAATTCTCCGTATCCCTCGGGCTGTTCCACCGTCTTTCCTCAATGAGTCATACTAATTCAAAGTTAATTTTGAAATGTTGTATGAGTTTATGGCATTTAATTAATTTTCTTAATTTTAAGAAAATAGTTAATAGGGTCTTGTTAAAAAAAAACTAGAGTGAGTATAAAATACTCCTTCCATCTTTAATGTATGACCTAATTAGAGAGTTAATATCAGTTCTATATGTCAGACCTACTTCACATGTTTATCAATATTTTTTTAAATTATTCTTCTTGATATTCTCCAATAATAATCAAGTAAGAGAGGGAGGGAAAGAAGGAATTAGAAAATATGCTTAGGATATTTTAAAAAAAAAATCATCTTAACTAATTTAAATAACATCCTTAATATAATCAAATTAATTAATTAAGTCTTACATATCAATAATTGAAGGAGTATTTAATATTTCTTGTAAATATATACTTCCCATTACTCTCTTTTAATTTAAAAATATCATACTCTACTAGTCTTTATGAACGAGATCTCAATAGACAGCAGGGCATGATATCTCACAAATTAGCTGCATCTTTTGATCTACCTAACATGAATGATGCTTAAAGTTCACAAAGTTGCTCGGTCAAATTCAAATACTATTTTCACTTATTAATATACGAAATAGATAACTAACTTAAGGATATTATAAAAAATAGTTAAGTCAGTTATTTGTAATAAAAAGATATTGACTTCTTTATTCTATTCTTTTTAATTACGTGCATTGATGGTCAGAACATTTTAATATATTCAATTAATAAGAATATTTTCATTAAAAAAATTGTAAATCTGGAAAACAAAGTGTATTGAATTCTTATATTTGAGATTAAAGTCAATTTCTCAAATTAACTCTTATATTAATTACCAAATCCAATGTATTACAAAAAAGAATTAAGTCACTGATATGTGGTTTACAATCTTTGAAAGGTCAATCCTGTTTTGAAAACAATAACAACTTATTCAAGAATATATATCCACATAGTTTAAAACCTGTAAGAGAAGTCCCTCTCAACGAGACTCAGCCTTCACTTCCTTTTGCGTGATACCTGAACAAATTTCTGAACATTCGTTGCCCAAAATCACTCCCTGCTTCTGTAAGTAAACCCATTTGTCCTGAAGAAGGTAGAAGAAAACTACGATAACAAGCTGAACAGTGAACAGTATGTTCCATATTCGTATGCTTTTTGATGTCTTCTCTTGGTAGGCTTGTAAGCCTATATATACATTCAAAATTCCCAGGAAGGAAATCACAGTTCCAAGTATCCAATGCAGAAAGAACCATACAGTCCTCTTTTTAGACCCCCTGAAAACATTATTACCACTTTTGATTCATCTTCTATAATCAGGAAACTGAAACTTTCCAATCAAGAGATGATATAAAATGATGGCTTTAGAAAATTCTTAGTTGTTGTGTGTGAGTATGACCGGCCAATGTCCACAAAGCACAAATCTATTACTAGGTTTCTCAACCTATCATTATCTTGTGTTCGAGCTATATTACCAAGCTCAAACTAAGAGGTAGCAATTCCTAATCTAGAAATCGAACTTCTAAAGGTAGCTAGTTTAATAGATAGAGATCAAGGTAATATAAAGATCTTTAAGTTTTACATTTTGTAGTATAAACTGCTTTCTGAGATACCAAGTATCTAAAAGATTCTCTCCTAAAACAACCAACTTTTTGGGGAGAATCTTTCATTTTGCTCAAGTGTATACTATTTGTTGAATTAATCTTAAATATTCTCTTGAAACTTTTTAAGTGGTCATTAACATACTATCAAAGTCAGAACTAACTGAATAATGAGGGCAAATTGAGACGAAGTTTCAGCTGTGTGTGTGTGTGTGTGTGATCTAACTTTTTGAGTTGAAATAAGGGATCACTGAAACAGCAAGTTACCTTTGAGGTCTAAAAATACCAAGAATGGCCTGAAGCCAGATAATACCATAGAGTGCCACTCCTACTCTTTGATGATTATTGTTAAAAGCATTGTTGAAGTTTTTTATGGACATGATTGCTCCTACTGTGGCCACAAGTACAGCAACTTTCTGTTAATACAAAAGAAAAACATATTATTATATACCAAAGCCAAACATAATCAGTGCTTATAGATAGTTATTTCTGTTAATAAATGATTAATAGGGATGTTCTCGCTTCTGGCTTTAATTATTTTTGAGCTCAGACTTTGAGTTGGGCCACAGTAACAGTTAAATTGTGCTCCCTTCAAAACCCCTTATTCCAAAACCAAATCAAGAAAGCTAGAAGCTTTCAATCATGCAGAAAAATATTTTATAAAAAAAATATGTTCCTTGTCTCTTCATCATTCATTACGGTCCTTGTCAACAGACTAGAAGGCGTTAGCCCTTGCTTGGATTTATATTAATAAACTTAGGCTCAGTAAATATAAGATGTGTACCAAAAAGTGAGTTTTTATTTAGAACCCAGAAAAAAAAAATTCTGAAGCAGATGGAAGTGATAATGAAGAGGAAAGCAGAGAAGAAATTCAGAAAGACTTGCCTGCAGAATTGCATGAACATAGAAAATCATTCTGAGCCTTCTTTGATTAGCCTCACCATTAGACATTCGGATAGCAAGTATACCCACGGGCATCAAGAATCCCATTGAAGCCCACAGAAGAAATCCATGTAATGTAATGTCAAACACAAGCATAGGGTTCATCTTCATAAACACAATCAAGAATGCTAAAATGTCAGATTCAAAGCCAAGAAGAAAATGCAGAGAAGAAAAATTTGAATACCTTAATGTTGTTGTCTTTGCTGCTAGAATGACTGCCTGTAACTTCCATTTTCTCCGGGTATGAGCTCACAGCAGAAAGAAGCATCGCAGATACAAGACTTAGAATGAAGAACAAAAAAATGAACTTTTGCAGAAACCCCATTTCTTCTCCCTTTGTTAAACCCGAAGCATTCTCATAACTGTGTTACTCTCTTCTGAGAATTCCAACCTTCTATATATATATATATATATATTGGAGCATGAAACTTGATGGTAAGTACTTAATGAAGAAAAAGGAATGTGGGGATGTGACATGAAATGGGATTTGAAACTTGTGGGGTTCAACTTCTGATAAGCGCTTTTTTTTTTTTTTTAAGGATCATGGAGGAGAAGGTGGACTTTCAGAGCAAAAGTGTGTCAGATTTCAATGGAGGGTGAAACATTTGTACAGAATGATAAAGTGGGTCTTCCTTGGCTGTAGATTTTTGGTACTAATAAACATTATCTTTTGCTTCCCACTACACCATGATGAGTCATAACATGCTTGGACAGACTCCATCAGCCATACACAGAGAAAATAACCTGCTTTTCTATTGGAGTGGTCAATAAAATCAGATTTTGGACACAAACAATGACTTCTTTTTTCATGTTCAACCCATGCCTTTTCCTTTCGGTTGGCATTTAGTACAGTTAAACAAGTGAACTTACTATGTGTTGCTGATCACAATTGGAATTTGACTTCATTAAATTTGCTGCTTGATGCCCAGATCTTCAAAATAATGTTCTGCTAATAACGCCAAAGCTCATCAATATGTATTTTTTTTTACAGTATGGCAGATCATAGAAATAATTATTGTTTATGGAGAAAGGGCAGGCGGTCTTCGTCCATATATAATGATTGTGAGGCACAAAGATTAACCCACTCGCACTGATACCAAGATATATTAATATTTTCTTCACACTCATCTGTGTGGTTCTGCAATGTTCTATTCTATGTTAAAGGCTAGATATGAGACAAATAAAAAGACAAAACAAATAAAACCAAATCAGTTTATTCTCATAATTAAATGAAAAAAAAATAAAACTTTATTTGACCCTAGTACTGAGCTAACTTTGATTTACTCAAGAATCACGTTTCTAATACTCTCTGCAATTTGCGTTGGATGGGGTGCTTATCATTAGCTTAAAAATTTATGACTTTCAATCAGAACATAATTATTTTGATTTAATTAGGTCCACTTGTAGATAGCTTGCGTTCCTGATTAACTCTTAATTACGAGTATTGACTGAACGTTTTAATCATTGATTTAGACAATAAAAGCTAATAACTGTATATAACTTTTTTTATTTATTATTCCAGACACACAACATGTGACACGGCTTTGCTTTTGTTTGTTGTGAGAGAATAGAATAAGTAGAGAAAGGACCATGCAGAGCCATGTACAGGCGGTGGATCAGGAGTATATAGCCAAAGCTGCTTTTGCAGAAAGTAAAACTAAAAAAAAAAAGTCTATAGTTGATCATTTTAAAAAAAATTCTGTAATTTATTCAATTTTTCATGCAGAGCATCTGTACGAAGGATAGATTTATTAATTAATAATAAATATGACTAAAATAGGCCTAACTTATTGTAACTTAGTGGCATAAAATGCTTTTCTTAAGTTTGATCACACCTGTAAGGCTATAACCTCAGAAAATAACTATACCTTGAACAAGATAAAACCAGTAAAAGTTGAAGAGAAAGCTGCCCTCCATTTGGAATCCAATAACAATTATTATGTCCTTTTAGTATTAAGATATTTTATACCAAAAATGAAGGGAGAAAACGACAAATAAGAGCAGTGAAAGAAAATAAGTTATAAATCATGTCAGATTAATTGCAAATAAATTATAAATTATGAAGGCTTTTTAAATTTTAGAAATTTAATTGAAAATTCAGAAAGCTCGATAGTAAATATTGCAAGATTAGTTGCAAATCAACTATACATTGCAAGATTAGTAGTAAATCATGGAATGTTAGTTACAAAACAACTTCTTAAGTATTTGCATTAGATTCATAATTTACAGCTGATTTGCAACTAGTCTTTCAATATTTACACCCAAACATTTTAGGTCAACATGAAATTTTGAGTAATAACATTTTGAAAACAAGTTACTTATCAAAATTGGAACATTTTGCTGCTAATATTAAGTATCTAATTGTATTAAGAATTTTTACACTTTTTTAATTCAAAACATATTTTCACCTCAATTCTACGGACTTGTAGAAGAATTTCAAAACATCTACCTAAAGTTTCATCATCTTCTTTATTGGATCCCTCAATAACATCCCTCAATTAAAAAAAAAAAGTGCATGAGAATAATTATGAAATTCAAGTGTCACACAAAGTTACACTTTTTGCATTATTTCCTTCAAGAGGATAGGATCCAATTTAAATAGATTTTTCTTTGAATGTGATTCACCTTTGCTGCTTATAATTATTATTTATTTACATAAACCACTTTCTATTATTTATTATACTTTTTAACTTCATGTGGGGGAAACCCCAATAAAGTAATAAGCATGATTATTTAAAGACTTCAAGTCACTAAAATAAGCTTTTTTTCATAATGACATTTAACTAAAACAGGCATTAAGATTATTTAGTTTACCACTTATAGCCATGATTATATTAATTAATTGATCTCATCTTGGTGTGGTGATTTGAGAATTTTTTTAAAGGTTAGCTTTATGTCACATACGTGAATTATAGCCGCAACCACTATAAGACGTTGTTAGACTTGATGGGCCCGTGGCCCACAACAGACCCAACACATGAGCCCATCATAATTGTTGCAGGTTTGTTCAGATGTCCACTTATAATCATTTCTTTGAATCAAGTGTCTTCAACTTTGTACCCCAAAAAAAAAAAAGGGTCTTCAACTTTTTCTTTAGACTTTTATTGTGAATTCTCTCTTTGATTGGTGCTCTGATTTTTACCCAATATATGTGAATCTTACACAATGAATTTCACTAATGATTTGTATATTATTATAATTTTAACTAATTTATATCGAACTTTTTTAAATTGCATTAAAATTACATAAATTTTATTAAAAATAATAAAAACATAATTAATTTTTTCTGAACTTGGTAAAATTAATGAAATCTTTCTTTTATTTTCAAAATTCACACAAATTTGAATAAAATATAATGGTCGTTTAAATGTTGCTAGGATTATACAATCTCTCTTTTAATCTTGGAAGGAGGCTTGGATGTCTTTTATAAATATAGAAAGAACATTTTTTTAATTTAGCAAAAATTATAAGATATTTGGGCTATTTAACGTTTTGTATTGGGTGGAATTACGTAAGTTTTAAAAATATATTTAAATTAATATTTAAAAATAAATAATGCTGATGTAATTTTAGCAAAACTGTAAAGAGGCTTTTATAGTTAATTCTAAGAGGCTTTTACAGTTAAGTCTAAACATTTTAGTATGAACATGACCAATGTCCCACCTTTTGATTGAAAATTCTGATAACAAATAGTACTTCCAGTTCTTAATATAAAAACCAGTTGATTGATTTGAGTAAATTAAAAAAGTTAATTAAATAAGTTATTTGTAATATATCGGTGTTATCTTTTCTAAAATATCTTTACTAATCACGTGTATTGAATTAAAACTACTATTATTACAAGAGTTATTTTGAAAAAAAAATAGATAAATATAAAAGACAAAGTACATTGAAGTCTTATATTTAAATAAAACTAAAAGTCAAATAAGTTTAATATTAAGGATTAGAGATAATATTACTCGAGTAAAAATAAATAAATAATTTTTACATCACGTGATGAGATGATGATGACCTGCTTCGAAGATTACGAGATTTATTTAATGTAAGCTTAGTAATTTTCAAATGAATGTAGAAAGATTAAGTGATTCTGTCAAATTATTTAACCCGCACATTAATAATTAAGGGGGTTAAGAAAAGCTGTGATTGATTTGAAACTTTCACAGCGTATGTTTTCTTTATAATCATTGATTCTTTATGTCTTTATCATTCTCTAGCTATAGTCAATGTTTTATAAAGTTGAGCTAGTAAAAAAAAAAAAGTTTTATAAAGTTGATAAGCTTGGGAATATATTTAATGACGCCAGAACTTTTGTTTTTATTGTAAAACTCAACTTCTCAAAACAAATTAAACGAATTGACTTAGTAATTCATCCAGTTCTAAATATCAAAACTAGTTGAAAGATTTACTCCAAATTTAAATTTAATATCTTAATCAATTTTATTTTCTAAATTTACAATTTTTTCCGAATCCATTCATATTGATTAAATATATTAAAAGAGAATTTTCATTAATTAAGTATAAATTTTAATATAAATAATTGACAAGATATCTTAGGAAAAAAAACCACATTTCTTTTTTATAAATATTTAACTTAATTATTTTTTTAATTTTGGTAAATTAATTATTTATATGAGGAAGAAATGTGAGCACGTGACTGGTTTAACTGGAAAAAGCAAAAGGCTACGATGTGTTATTTTATTATTGGCGTAAATGATAACGATGATGATATTCAACTTTGATGATTGATATTGATATTTTATCTCAAAAACACTCAAACGAAATGGATGACATTTTAGCTAACGAGAAAGTTAAATTCGCGTTTAAAAAAAAAAAAAACTGGCATTTGTTCAAAGTAAATTTCTCTAGTCCACCAACAGTTTAGTTAAAGGGACTAATTTCTCACAATACGGTAAATTAAAGTTTAAGTTCTCATTAGGAAAGATATCTATATTTAATGTCTAACAATATCTTGAACAAAATTATCTCTAATAGAAAGACACATGTTCTTAGCAAAATAAAAAGGTTCTTTTAGGGTGAACTTCAAAATTGATTGGGCCTAGTAAAACTCCAAAAACTTCGACAAGAACGAACAAAATTATAGTTGAAACTAGCTTATTTTTGGCCAAATTCCAAAATCTTTTGGGCTTGGAAAAACTACAAAATTTGTGATAGGAATAAAAATTGGTTCAGTTACTAAAATCAGCTCATAACTTATAAGGTCATGATTTATAAGTACTTTTATAAACACTTTTTAAAATTGAAGACATGCCATAATCCTAATGAATCTTTGGGCCTGCAGTAAGAGTTCTAATGTGATGAACATGATTATTGTTAAGGGAAAGGAAGAATGTTCCCCCACAAGAAAGATAATGACA